TGTGTTGTTTATATTTCTCATGAGATCTGAGACAGCCGTTCCCCATCTCTACAACATCCAGTCATAACATCCGGGAACAGTGAATTTAGTCCTTAACAATTGGTCCCTTCCTCAAGACAGCTTCTAGGTAAGCTCTCTAAAAGAATGTACATGATGTAATTCTTCTCTACAGTCAGCTGGTTACATAGGAATCGATGTCAAAGCAAATCCCTGTACTAGATGAAAAGCTTGTAGGAACTGAGGGTCCTCCCAAAGTGAAGACTGCTAGACTTTACTTTGGAGGGTGCCTGCATTCTCCAGGCTTACTTGTGCTTGCAGCACTGGTCTCCCTCCCACCCTCAATCCAACTCCTGAGCCAGGGTTGGTGCTATAGATTGCTTTGTACTTCTCTGAGTTATTTTCCACTTCTCTGTGCTTGTGAATTTTCCAGTCATCTTTTTTTTTTTTTGTCTTTTTCATTTTTATTGGTACCGGGAATCGAACTCACGACCGCCTGCTTGCAAGGCAGGTGCTTATGCCGCTGAGCTAAATCCCCAGCCCCTCCAGTCATCTTTTTGATTCCTGGAATTTTTCCTCTTTTTTCCTCAGAATATACTTTCTCCTTTGTTGTTCTCTTTACTTGCAAAGTTGTGTGACAGATACGTGTATTCTGTCATTTACCAAAAAATTTCTTTGTGGTTTTTTATTTCCATTTTTTTAGAATTCTAATTTGACTTGTTTGTAGTTTTTGAGTATACCTCTTTGTATACTTTATAGTGTATGCATATATACTACATTGCATACACATAACTTACCATACGTGTATTTTACCAGTTCAAGAGAAAATACTGGAAATTTACCTCTCTCTGTCCCTTCTCCTATATGAATAAAATAACCATATTCTCCTACATACATTGAGAAACGCATTCAACTGTCAAACAAACATCTGAAAATTAAAAATAAATATGTAAATAGGAAATTTTATTTACCTATAGTTTGGCTCTCTATATGGCATATATTGTGCTTCCTTCTTCTTCCTGTTCCAGAATTCCTTCCAATACCATTTCCTTTCTGGCTGGAGAAATTCCTTTATCTATTCTTCTAGGATAGATCTGCTAGCAACAAAGTCTTAGTTTCTCCTCACCTGAGAATGTTTTAATTTTCTCCTCAATTTTCAAGGATATTTTTCTTTGATACAGAACAGTGAGCTGATAGTCCTTTTCTCTAGAATTTGAAAGACAATACACTTCCCTTCTTACCTTCATAGTTTCAAATTTTTAAAATATGTAATCTTTTGAATTTGGTACCCCTGTACAGATAATATATTGTTTCTCTCTGTGTGCTTTCAGGAATGGTTTGCTGTCCTTAGTTTTTCAAGTTTAATTATGAAGTATCTTGGCATACACTTGTATGGGTGACTGCTGTTAGGTACCCACTCACTTTTAATCTGTTTTATGCCCTTGCCGCCCAATTAGGAGAGTTTCAAATCATGCTTTCTGAGAATATTTTCTCAGCCTACTCTTTCTTCTATCTCTTTCTGGCACTCTGACAACCCAAATGTAAGGTTTGTTATAGTTCCACCTTTTGTTATAATTCCACCTGATCCAACACTCTATTCATACTTCTCAAACGTATTTTTCTTTCTGTTGCTCAGATTAGATAATTTCTCTTTTTCTATTCTCACATTCAATGATCCATTCCTCTCTCCACTGTTGGAAAAACTAGGTTTTCAATTTCATTTACTATATTTTAAAAACATTTTTATTGCAGTAAACTACATATAAAATTTAACATTTAAATTATTTTAAAATATACAACTCAACAGTATGCAATATATCCACAATGCTGTATAACCATCACCACCCTTCATTTCCAGAATTTTCATTATTCCCCCCAAAACTTCTGTAGTTATAAAAAAATGGTTCTGTCTCTATGAATGTGCCTATTCTAAGTATAAGGAGAATGAAACAATATTTGTTCTGTCTGGCTGACTTTACATGACATGTTTTCCAAGTTCAATCATATTGTAGCATGTATCCAAACTTCATTATTCTTAGGGAACTGAGTTTTATTATGTTCCCCAGGCTGACCTCAAGCTCTTGGACCCAATCAATTCTCTTGCCTTAGCATTCTCTCTGAAACTACAATCATGAGCTACTTGGCCTGGCTGGAATTTCATTTGTTCGTAAGGTTAACCCTCTGCTGTAAGTGCATAGGACATTTGGTGGTACTGTTGTTCTGAGATAGTGTCTTATTATACTGTTCAAATTCTGAGCTCAAGTGATTCTCCCACCTCAGCCTCTTGAGTAGCGGGGACAACAAGCCTGCACCACTGTGCAAGGTCACACATTATGTTTACTCATCCTTTTGTCAACGGCTATTTGGATTGTTTCCAACTTTGGGTGCCTGTGAATAATGGGGCTATGAACATTTGTGTTTGAGTGGCTGAGTCCCTGCTTTTAATTCTTTAGTGTATATATGTCTGGGTAGAATAGCTGAATCTACGGTTATCTATCTTTGACTGTTATACTGTTTTCTATGGTTCCTGCCCATTTTACGTTCTCACCAGCAATGCAAAAGTGTTCTAGTTTCTTCATATCCTCATAGACACCTGCTATTTTCTGCAGTACTGACACAGCCATCCGAATGGGAATGAAGTGTACCTCATAGTGGTTTTGATTTCATTAATGATTGATGATGTTGAGTGTCTTTTCATGCACTTATTGATAAGCTGTATATCTTTTTGGAGAACTCTGTTTAAGTCCTTTATCCTTTTTATTTTTTCAGTGTTGGGGCTCTAACTAGGGCCTAACATATCAACCTTTTGCCCATTTTTGAACTGGAAGGTTTTATTTTGTTTTGGTTGTATAACAGTTCTTTATATATCCTAGATGCTAAGCTTCTATCAGATATACAATCTAAAATTTTTTGTCCTGTCTATACTTTTTAAAAAATTTTTAAAACACAAGTTTTAGGTTTACAGAAAAATTGGTCAAAAATTAGAGTTCTCACATACCCTTGTCCCCTCCTCCCTGTGACAGTCTTTCCTGTTATTCGTATCTTTCCCCCCCCCCTTTTTCTCCTTTATCGGCACCGAGGATTGAACTCAACAACCACCTGCTTGCAAGGCAGGTGCTTATGCTGCTGAGCTAAATCCCCAGCCCCCTGTCATTCATATCTTATACTGGTGTGGTGTGGTGTATTTGTTAAAATTCATGAACTGAAGCTGGACATAGTGGTGTATGCCTGAAAGGGGCCAGGGAAGTTGCTCAGTGCAGAACTCTTGGGTTCAATTTCCACTTCCACAAAACAAAAAATAAGTAAAATATTTAAAAATTGATGAACCAATACGATTCTTTATTAACTAAGGGCACTAGGACTCACTCTAGGTGTTGCTCATTTGGTGGATTTTTATGTATAATGCTATGTATTCAGCATCACTATATATTACACAGTAGTCTCACTGCCCTACAAGCTCCCATGTATCACCACCTACTCACCCTCTCCTCCCAATCCCTGATAACCAGTGCTCCTTTTTCAGTCTCCACAGTTCCTTTTCAGAACTTTGTGTAAGTATAAACACAGTTGGTAGCACTTTCAGATTTTCTTTTACCTTGCAATGTTCTTTCAAGTTTCCTCCACACCTTCTCAAGGCTCAATACATAATCTTTTTTTTTATCATTGAGTACTATCCCACAGTATGTATATATTGTAGCTGGGTTATCTATTGCCTAATGAAAGACATCCTGATTGCTTCTACTTTTGGGCAATTATAATTAAGTCTGATGTAAACATTTGTGTGTAGATTTTTCTGGGGCTAGTTACCATATAATTTGGTTCTCCTTTGTAACTTTTATTTCTCAAGTGAGACTTTATATTATTAGTTTCAAGTGGGCTGATAATTGCTTGTTGAGCTTTTACATGAGTGCTTTAAAATCCTTGACAGAATATTATAATAAATTACATTTTAGTGTTTGCTTCTCATGACTGTCTTTTCTCAGAAATTTCTGATTCCTGTGCAGAGGAGTGAATTTCTTTTATTGCAATACATGATTATAACACTTTGGATCCAATGGTCTCCCATGATATTGCTGCTGCTAGAAAATGGTGACACTGTCTTATTGCGGCTACATGGGTTAGAATTCCAGTTTCTCCATGGCCGCCTTCACTGACACCTGAGGAGGGCAGGCTCTCTGATACTCAGAGGCAGGGGTGGGTGTGCAGGCTGCCCTTTTCCTAGTCTTCTGACTAGGATGGATGTCTTTTCTGGGTTTTTTGGTTTGTTTGTTTGTTTTTTGACTGTGCTCAATGTCATTTCCAGGTGCCAGTTATTCTAGCACTCTGTCTAGGATATATGGAGAAAAAGAAAATATAAGATCTCCCTAATATGTTCTTAGTGTCTTGAGGTCCCCAACTAGTTTTCCTACCTCTATCTACCTTAACTAAGTTTTACGTATATAGTCTTCAGAGGTGCTAGCTGTATTTAATAGGAGGAATAGGAAAAGGTAAGTCTACTTTCTCTCTCGAGAAGTGCCTTCTTAAAACAGCTATACCATATTCTAGGCACGAGGAGAGCAGAAACAGTACTGAACTTGAAGTTCAGAAGACTGGGTTCAAGTCCTGGCTAACCTGAAGTTCACAGAAATCAGCTCTTATCTGAATGTTATAATTATTTAACCTCTTAGAACCCCAGTTCTCATCCCTATAAATGGGAATAACATAAGGTAATAATACCTTATTTTAACCATCACCTTGGCAACTAGTGAGTTCACAAGTTGGAAATGATTAAGTAAGATCTATGCACTTTCAAGCACCTGATAGAACATTGTACACAGTTTGCACTTACTCCCTCTGAATCCATGTGTATCAAAATGGTTAAGGTAAAAATCAAATGATTTTTAGACTCATTAGATTTTAACAAGCTCTGAAACAGTAATTATTTATTCTCTACCTCCTTGTTTTAAAGTAGGTTCCCATCCCCAACTAACTCAAGAGAAATAGATGTGTAAACTAAAAGTAACCTGTAATTTCAGTGCAGAGATGAATTTATCTTGCTTTTTCACTTCTTGTTCTAGCTGGAGAGTATTCTGGTTTTTTTCAGCTTCAGAAACTGGAACCCCTAGACCAGAACGATGTTCTTTGGTGGTAACCTAATAGAAAGAATGGAAATATATACAGAGACATTTAATTTAAAATGGCTCTGTGATTTTTCACAATAATCAATAAACTCTGAAAATCACTAACATTCTTAGATACATTTTCAATAGCTATTAACTATCACCCACTGCAAGAGAATTTCAAGTTTTATCTTCTTAAAATTATTTTTAAAACTGGGCCAGGGACTTAGCTCAGTGGCACAGTGGCTACCTGGCAAGTGAGAAGTTGTGTGTTCAATCCCCAGTACCAAAAAGATCAAAAAAATATTGTTTTAAAAAAAAACTTTATTTCTGTTTTCCAAATATAAAACTAAATACTAAACTTGCTTCTCAAAGACACACTCTACCCTGACATTATTCTAAGAGACGTGAGTCAGTAACAAAGTAAGCCATATACCTCTAGGCCTACACTGTCTAATACAGGAACCATTAGCGACTTGGCTGCTGTAGGTACTGCAAGTCAACAGAAAGGTTTTTTTAGCCCATATTACAAAGGGCTAAATTCCCTACTATATAAATAATTCTTATAAAGGATAAAGGGAAATAAATGCCCTAATAGAAAAACTGGTAATGACATTTGGACATTTACAGAAATGTTCAATTTCAATCTTTGCAGTGGACACCAATGAAAGCAATACCTTATTTTAACCATCACCTTGGCAAAGACCAGTGAGTTGGATACAAAACTTAGCATCTTTTTTTTTTTTTTTAAATCGGTACCAGGGATCGAACTCACAACCACCTGCTTGCAAGGCAGGAGCTTATGCCGCTAAGCTAAATCCCCAGCCCAAAACTTAGCATCTTTACAAATCACTGGTAGCAGTGTAAATTTATACAGTATTTGTGCATAACACAAACCTATCAACAGCATAAATGTACACAAAGGAATCTTGTTTAAATATCAATTGTTATTCACATTAGACCTCAGATTCTGCATTTTTGAAGCTGTCCTGCAGTCACAGTTTGGTTGATATCTCACTTTTAATTTCAAGAGCCCATTTAATTAAAATGCACAGCTGATCAACATTTAAGAGTTTTTCATGTCAACTTCATTAGATTGAGAAACACCTAGCAGATTAGTAGAGCACTCTCTGGGGTATGTCTGGGTGGGTGATGGGGAATGGCCTTGGGTACTATATATGATCTTTTCTTCTCTGGAACTGTTTCCCACCTCTGCTTTCCACATATAATGAACTGAGCAGTTTTTCTTCATCCATCACTTCTACCAGAATGTTTCTACCGGGAGACCAGTTCAACCATGAACTGAATCCTCTCAACCCTGAGCCAATTAAAACTCCCCTTTAAATTGTGCATGTCAGGTATCAGTGACAGGAAAGCTGCCTAATACAGAAAACTTATACCAAGGGTGAGGTCACTGCTGTGATCCTACCCAACGGTAGTTTAGAAGCCTTTGGAACTGGTTTATGGGAGGAGTCTGGAGATGTGGGCTAGAAAAGGCCTAGAATGATACAAACAAACTGGGTGTGGTGGCACATCCCAGCACTTGGGAGGCCAAGGCAGGAGGATTGCTGAGAATTCAAAACTGGCCTGGGCTACAAAGTGAGCTCAAGGGCAACCTAAACTGCACAGTGATACTGTCTCAAAAAGGAGGAAGGGAGGGAGGCAGGGAGAGAGAGAGAGAGGGAGGAAGGGAGGGAGAGAGAGGCAGGAAGGGGGGGGTGGGGAGAGAGAATGAATGAATATGCTATCAACAGAGCCTGATGGGTGATTCTGGTCAGAGCTCAGAAGCCCAGACTGTTAACAGGAATTGGACAGTAAAGGCCACCCTCAGCAGGTTTCAGTTGGGAACAAGAAGTCCATTGGCATCTGGAGTGGAGGGCATTTGTGTAATGTTCTGGCAAAAAGTCTATATGGATTTTCCCCATATCCTCAGACTTTCTGGGAAGTCTGAGGTTAAAGATGGTGAACTAATTAATCTGGAGAAGATAATTTCAAAACAGCTCAACATTCAGGCTGTGGCATGGTATTGCTGATTATTTAGCCAGATTTACAGACAAGAAAAATTTGAAAACTTGCAGTTTGGCCTAGCAAAAACCATGTGTAAAACTGGGATGGAGTTGTGGCTATTAAAGAGATTAGTGTTATTAAAAAACAAAACCCAAGTATTTTACAGAAGAATAAAAAGAAAAATAACTTGAAGGCATTCATGAATCAGTAAGATCCCCAAGATCCCAAGCATATAAAAGCATCACCCTTTCTTTTGAGGACAGAATCCCTGCTTCAGAAGGATGTCTTAAGGAATTGGTTCCTTGGGATTCATTTTGCCATGCTCAGCCATCCAGGGACATAAGAGGCATTGAACCATGACCTAAGGGAGCCTGGCTACTTTCTATGGACAGCAGACTTTGGCATCATCAATGGGATACTAGTTTTTTACACATGCAAGAACACAAGAGCTATGGGAGTCAGGTTTCCACAAACATTTCAAAGGCAAACCAAGGAGCCCCTAAAAGGACAGTACCTCTAGCTGTGGTGCAGTGGACACCTCAGGAAGTAAGAGATGCCAGGAATGTGGAATGTCAGCTGACAAAAGCTGAATGTGTCAAGCAGCCAGCCCTAAAAAGAAGCTTTGTGGCCTGCGATCAGCAAGGACATAGGGGTTGCTTAGTGTGGTGCGTGTCTAAAATCACAGCACTCAGGGAGGCTGAGGCAAGAGGATCACTATGAGTTCAAAGCCAGCCTGGTCTACACAACCAGACCTTGGCATAGCCATAAAGGTGGGGCCACCCATGTCCTTTGGAAATCACGTTTACCACTTTTTGTGCTCCCGATGCTGTATATGCAGCTATAGGACTTAATGTTTGCCCTGCTGGTTTTGGTATTGCTTTGTTCTGATTCCTCTTCTTCCTCCCCTTCCTTCCTTTTGAAATAGGAATGTTTACCCCATGCCATCTTTACCTTCATGTCTTAGTTATTTTTCTCATTGCTGAGACAAAATACTCGGTCCCATGCCGGCTCCTTTTGGGCACTGTGGTCCTGCTCTATCTTCCTGACCATGATGAATTGAACAACTCTGCTCTACCACATGCTTGTGCCGCGATATTTCTGCCTTGGAACTAGCTATCAGTGGGCTGAATCCCTGAACTACGAGCCAAATTAAAACTCACTTCCTGGGGTCTGGGGATTTAGCTCAGCGGCATAAGCGCCTGCCTTGCAAGCAGGCAGTCCTGAGTTTGATCCCCGGTACCGATAAAAAGGAAAAAGACAAAAAAAAAAAAAAAAAAAAAAGAAAAAGGAAAACTAAGTTGTGTGTGTTGGGAGCTGTGTCCCAGCAATGGGAAAGCTAACTAAAATGCAGATTTTTATTCACAGAAGACCTGAGATTCTTTTGCATCTCAAAAAAAAAGCCGTCTTGCAATCCCAATTTGGTTAATGTCTCAGTCTGAATTTCAAAGGTCTACTTTGTTAAAATGTAAACTTGCTCAACATTCAGAGTTCTTAATTCTCACTTTCCAAATTTATCTCCTAATTGAAAACTGCAAGAAGCCCTCTTTGCAAGACTATTTTACATATTCTTACCACATAAGCACTTTTCTCAATTTAATTAGACACTTTTAAGGTCTAGGCTGAATTCCAAATTTTCCAGGTTTTCTCTATTATTACCACTGTATAAAAACCACTTTTGTAGCTATTTATTTCTTCTGGATATGTCTTTTTCACAAAGTTATAAGACTCTTAAGAACAAACAACATCTAGGAGCTATTTTTCTCCATCAACTCACCAGTACAGTTTTATTCAGATTGATAATGAAGCAGTGTACCAAAGGAGATTTAACCTTTTTGTTCTCTCTGATAAGCTGGGTAGTCAAATGGAGATTCTGTAAAATTACCTATTAGGCTAGTCTAGGAATTAAAAATAGAAACAGTCCAGGAATTCATGTGACAATCATGAATAAGTATCTTGGAGCTGCTTCAGAAATAATAGATATGCAAAATAAAAGGTGAACAGGGAGATAGATCTTTTGCAAAAAAGAAGTCTGAGTCCAAGAGCTGGAAGAGGAGGAGGGTGGGGAAGGGGATAAAGAAAGAATTAAGAGGTGTTATGTACATGCACCAACTCCCCATGATGAACACAATCACTGTGTACTGCATACGTGTACTAATTTTAAAATTAAAAAATATGTATAAACTAAGATAATTCTCAAAAACAATCTAGTAGCCTCCCACTGGATTCAGAATAAAATGCAAACTTTCAAAGGACATACATGATTTGTTCCCTGCCTTCACTTAATATATTTGATATTCTCTTTTTAGTTCACTCACTAATTATATTAATTTTCTTTTTGTTCCTCTAATGTGCTGCTATGATCTGAATTTTGTGCCCATCCCCATGGGGTCAACTCATATGCTGCCATCCTAACCCAAAAGTGATCATATTAAGAGATAGAGAGGCTGAGGATGTAGCTCAGTGGTCTAGAATGCCTAAGGTCCTGAGTTCAAACCCTACCACTCCTTCTCAAAAAAAGGTGTGGCCCCTGAAAGGGACACGCCCTCATAAAAAAGGACCCAGAAAATTCCCTTGCCCTTTATATCCTGTGAGAAAACAACTGGGAGGTGTCAGTGATATAGGAAATAAAACCTTAACAGACACAGAACCTGCTGGTCCCACTACCCTGAAGTTCCCAATCTCTAGTCCTAGAAATTAAATTTTTGTTTTTTACACATTACCCAGTATATGGTATTTTGTTAGAGAAACACAAATGGACTAAGAAGCGTGACTCGTTTCATTTCAAGGCCTCTGCCCTTCAATCTGGCAATCTGACTCAAATGTGAGACAGACTTTTTAGTTTTTCTCTCTTTTTGAGACAGAGTCTTGCTGTGCAGTTAGGGATGGACTTGAGTTCACTTTGTAGCCCAGGTCAGTCTCGAACTGCAAGGATCCACCCCAAGTGCTGGGATCACAGGCCTGTGCCACTACGCCCACTCCGTGTCACAGTCCTACCTACTTCTTTCCTAAAGTAGTCTCCTCTCCCAATCACTGTTTAGACTATTTGCAGTACTGCTACTTGAAACTACATCACATATTTGCTCTTGTTTATTGTCTGTCCTCCCTTTACTAAGATACAAATTCCAAGACATGTAAGCTCTTGCCTGGTAACTATGGTGCCTATTTTTTTCTTCTTCCTTCTTTATTTTTTTCTCTTTTATTGTGGGGTAGGAATGCTAAAGCCCCAACTCAGGACCTCACATGTGCTAGGCAACACTCTACCATTGAACTATATTCTTAATCCAGGTCACTCTGATATCTCTAATGCCTAAAGGTTGTCCACCATAAAGTTGCTCAATAAAACTTACTTTGTCGTTATTCAATAAAATATTCATAATTACTCAATAAAACATTTTCAAAATAATGAATTTTAGTACTTAAAAAAAGCAATTTCAGTGGTAGAGTAGGGTGGAAGTCTGAAGAGGACCAATGAATGACTTAGAATTTTTAAAAGGGAAACATCATGCTACTTTTAAGCATAATTACAAGAGGAAGACTAAAGAGGGATAAGGATGACCGTGAAGGAAAAACCAGGGACTAAAGCAGGAGGATCACAGTGAGCCAGCCTGGGCTACTGAGTGAGTTCATAACCAGCTTGAACTACATAGTGACACCTTATCTCAAAAACATCAAAAATACACCCCCCCAAAAAAAACAAAAAAAACCCAGGAGCCTAAGGCAGGAGGATCATGGCAAGTTCGAGGGCAGCCTAGGTTACTTAGTAAATTCTAGGCAAACCTGAAGTACATAGCAAGAAAACCCTGTCTCAAAAAAAAAAAAAAGTTAATTTTTTTTTATATTAAAGACTTCTTTTTTAGAATCAAACTCTGGGTCCTCCTCTCAGAAAAATGCAAACATTCCTAATCTAAAAATCCAAAACCTGAAATACTCCAAAATCCAAAACTCTCTCAGTTTTTATAGGTGCCATAAGTAAAAAATTTCACACCTGACTCATGTGTATGCCATAATCACAATGTAGGGGCACCAAAAATACTGTTCAAAATTCCCGTCAGGTGGGTGCAGAAGTAAACATCTATAATCCCAGGTACTTGGGAAGCTGAAACAGGAGGGTGACAAGTTTGACCCCAGCCTGGACAACTGAGTGAGATCATCTCAAAATAAAAATCAAAAAAGTAGAGCTCAGTGGTAGAATCATCCCAGTACTGAAAAAAAATTACTTTCACACCACATGTTTAAGGTATGTATATATAAAATTTAAATGAATTTTATGTTTAGACTTGGATTCCATCTCCAAAATATCTCATTATGTTTATGCATATTTCAACTCCACTCCTAAAAAAAAAATTCAAAATGTGGTCTTCTGACCCTTGTGGTCTCAATTGTTTTAGATAAGGAATACTCCATCTATACAGACAACTTTACAAATTCAGGTGTTTGAAGAACTCCCTGAAGTTAATAGCCTCAAGTATAGAATAGCATAGAAACAATCATTCCAAGACACATTAATGTAACTGATGGAGAAAGAAAATGAGGTAATAATGGAAACCCAGGTGGTGTGTGCACTGTTCTCTGAGACAAGAAACAAACAAACAAAAAAGATTAAGTGAAGATTTAGATGAGGGGTAGAAATTTGAGTAACTTCCTCTCTGGTAGAATTTTGATTTTACAAGTAGTTCACTTCAAAAGATTTTCTTAGATGTATATGTAAGAACATTTGCTGGGTGTGGTAGCACATACCTGTAATCCCAGCACTCTGGAGACTGAGGCAAGATAGCTTCAAGTCTGAGGTCAACCTGGGCCATATATTGAATTCAAGACCTGTCTGAATTACACAGTGAGACCCCATCTCACTAAATAATATTCATAGCAATATCTTTCATAATTGTCTAAAAGTATAAAAAAAAACAACTGTTCAACAGTAGATAAACAGTAGCTTACTCTAACAAAGGAACACAAATCTGCATTTCATAAGCAACAAGGATAAATCTTAAAAACACAATATTCAAGCTGCATTCTAATATTGTGCAATAAATCAGACTCACAAGTTTAACTATCTTAGAGTTTCTCTTATATGAGATATCCAAAATAATAAACACTAGGAAACAAGGAGATAGATCTTTTGCAAATACGATGGGGACCAAGAGCTGGAGGGAGGAAGACAGGAGGGCAAAGAAGAGGACATAAAAAGAACTAAGATGTGTCATGTACACATCTTATCCACAATTAATGTACTAATGCGCCAACTCCCCACAATTAATGTATTCATTATGTACTGCAAACATAAAACACACAATGTTGAGTGAAGAAGCAAGATACAAAAAGAATATTTGGTGAAATTCTATTTCCATTAAGTTCAAAAGCAAACCAAACGATAAAGGGCACATTCACATTATACAAAAATGGCAAAACTATACAGAAAAGAAAAGAAGTGGCTACCTTAGAAGCCAGGACAGTGTTTCTCTCTTGGAAAAAAGGTATGAGACCTGTGAAGGGATGAATAACAAAATCTGCTCTACCTATTTGTACAACACGAGAGATTTAAAACCATGCCGGCTTACAACAAACTACACTAAGCAATTACATTAAGCAACTGTAAAAGACACAGAAAAAGAACTCAGACAATATCTACACCTGATTATACTATGGGCTACAAGCAGTGATTTTTTTTTCTTTAGAAGGCAAATACAGTGAGGTATATTTTGAAAGCTACCATTAAATAATGCCTAAGTTTAGATTTGAGGTAAATATTTCATTAATATAATAAGCTTCCTCGCTGTTTCCTAGTAGTTAAGACTAAAGGACTTAGTTCACTGATCAATTAAAATATATAAACAAGAACCAGCTTTGTCTTAGATACAGAAATAGGACACTACGCTTTTTTATTCCTAATCATTTCATTTACAAACCGATCCTTATTTTGTGTTTTCCTGCATGGAAACAAAACATATTTGAAAACGACAGGTAACAGAGAGAATTCAAAATAGCAAACATCCTGTGACATAAAGGCCTGGAATGGAAAAGGAAAACGCTGATACATCCATCTATGCAATGTTTTCCTGAAACCAGAATCCTTGATTTTATTTGAAAATAAAAAAGGACACATGTAGCGTTTAGGTAGAAGTCTATGACCACCTGTATTTGAGACTTTCATAGTTTTTAAAAACACAAGCCAGCTTACCCTGTCTTTTCTGGGTACAATTTCTACTGAAATTATAAAGGCATTCTATGCAAATGTGTACATCATCTAGGCCCTTCACCTCCCAAGGTCCACAAAGACCCCTCAGAAGTGCATGACTGGGAGTCAGGGGGAGGCAAGGTGAACTCCCAAATCTCTGAATTCCAAGTTCCTCGGCTCTACTCCAGAGCGTTTCTAAGCAGAACAGTCCCCCAACAACCTGCTAGTTGTAGCAGGAAGCAAAGCGGTCACCATAGGAACTGGCTCAACCCTGACTCCCAGGAGACGACACCGAGGCTGAGGCTGGCTCCCGAAGGCTTCCCCGGCCGCCACCTCCCCTCGCAGCGGCCCCGGCCGCGGAGACCCACCCCCTGGGCCGCCCGCAGTCCCCGAGCACCTCCGAAGCGTCTACCTGGAGCTCCGGGGCCCTCGCCGGGCTTCCGAGCCCACCGTCCTCCCCAGTGCTCATCCCTGCGACTGCCCAGCCCGGGCCACCGAGGTCTAGCCAGGTCCCACCGGGTCTCCATCCTCCGCCCCTTTCCCCGCCCCGGCCTCCCGCCCCCAAACCCGCCTAGTCCCGCCCCGGCGGAGGAAGGTGGGACCCCGCAGGAGGGAGGCGGGAGCGGTTGGCGCCGGCCTGCGCGCCGTCGGGCCCGCCCTCACGCTCCCTCCGTACCTGAGGGGGGCTCTTCTGCCACCTCCCCGGGGCCTTCGCTCCGCTTCCGTCCGGCGCGCCCTCAGGCCCCTTGCGCACGCGTACTTGGCCCGACCCGTCCTCGCTTGGGGACTACAAGCCGTGCGCGCGCACCCACGCACGTAGGGACGCGTACGTCCACCTGTCCTCTTCACAGGGCGCCTAGGAAAGGCCTCCTCTTGGCCCATCCGCGCCGCGCAGGCGCACGCCCACGCAGCGCCAGACGCCCTACCCGAGCGTCCCGTCTCCTAGTAACCAGCGCGAAGCCCCTTTCTCGCGATTTCCTCCAGGCCGCCGCACCTGGAAAGAACGCGCATGCGCACGACTGTCTTTTTCCGCCACCATCGCTTCCCGCCCCTTCCACACACCTGCTGCTTCGGGACCAGGGCTCTGTGCTTTTTCCGAGAGATCCAAAGTCATTCTGGACTCACATTTATTAGAAGGACTGCTCTTGGACACAGCTTCTGCTATAGTTACGAACCCGTTTTGAGGGCCACTCCCTGGTCGACTCCTGGGAGTGACCCGCCTGTCCCGGTGAGCGCCTGCAGCTTCTGTCCGGGACGCTCCTGGATCCAAGGCTTCGGTCAGCCTTGCACAGTCGAGTCAGGCTGGAGGCGGAAGGTGACATTAAAAGCCCAGATTCCACTAGCCAGTCCCCTTCCAAGTCCTCTTCCCAGAAAACCTGGCGATGGTTAACAAAGAAAAGGTATACTGCCTCTCACGATGTTTGATGAGGTATCGATATTTTTTTTCCTGTTTAGTACTGTTTAAATTTGTCTTTGCTCACATAGGTGCCTTCAGTCTTCAGAAGGCTCCTATGTGAGCAAAGACAACATTAAACATCAAATCAACATTCATTTAATTTAAACCAGTGCAGAAAAAAAAATAAAGGAAAAGCAACTATGTTACTCTAAAGTGGAAAAGTGAGCTTTTCAGTGAAAAAGAATAAGCACTGAGTTATTCTGCCAATATTTCGGAGCGTAGTTTGAATACTTAACATGTCCCACCCTTCTTAATCCTGACCTTATTTTCCCTTCTTTTCCTATAGATGACAGTAGATTGGGTTTTACTGCCCCTTGGATGATCTTGATGTAGTATAAGCCTTTGCATTTCAAAAGTAAGCTCACGTTTGATGAAACTAACAATTCCTGTTTTTCCCCGTGAGTGTTCACTTTTTTCACAAAGTGATACTGGCAGAGAGAAACAACTTTTATTTTTATATACCATATACTTTCTAAATATAACTGGATACAGTACAAGAAAATGAAGTTGTCGCCGGGGATATAGTTCAGGGGTGTAAGTGCCTGCCTGGCAAGCACTAGGTCTTGAGTTTGATTCCCAATACAAAAAAGAAAGAAAGAAAAGAAATTATTTCTCTTGTTTAAAAGTGGTGAGAGGATCGAGGGGCAGCACATTTCCTTTGACATGCAATTGATAAAAAGAAGCCACAAAAAAAAAAAAAAAAAAAAGCATGGGCTCTCAAAAGACCATTCTTTGTCTTTTTCCTTTTTATTGGTACCAGAGATCAAACTCAGGACTGCCTGCTTGCAAGGCAGGCGTTTATGCCACTGAGCTAAATCCCCAGGCCCTCAAAAGATCATTCTAAAAAGTTAAGGAGAATAATGTATAGTCTGGTATTCTGGTATTCTTGTCAGACACTAACATTTTGAAGAGTCTCATCTAGCATGATTGAAAACAAAAAGAATATTCTAATTTAAAACTACAAGGAAAGGTTGAAAGGAGGGTCGGGGAATGGGGGAAAAAACAAGCTATGTCAGGTATAGGTGCAAATTCTATGATGAATGTGACTTATGTATATCTAAAGTGTACCAAAAAACCTAATTTAAAAATTAATTAATTAATAAAACCGGAGTGGGCTGGGCTATGGCCCAGTTGTAGAGCAAAGTGCTGAGCTGTGGGATGCCCAGGATTCACTGCCCAGCACCAAACCCAAAAGAAACAGAACTCTCTCAGTTGAAGCAGAAGCCTGAAGAGGAGGGAGGAGAATTACTCACACAGGAAATGGAAAAGAAGAACAGTGGAAACATTTTCCTGTGCCACCTACATGTTACTGAAGATTCTTTGAAAAGAATGTAAGGAAAAGATCTTTTTAAGGGAAAAGAGTACATAAAATTTTTATTTCTTTTCCTATCAAGGACTGATGATTTACTCGCCTAACCCAAGAAAATGAAAATGCCCTTCCCTCTCTGTAAACCAAGGAGTGGTGAGTGTTCCACTCTGTCCCAATTAAACCTTGTATAGAAACCTGCCTCCCCAGCCTTTCAGTGCGCTATCTTTCCATGGGCAGTGTCAGTCCCACCCATTGTTTTCGTGTCACACGAAATGATGATATAAATATAGAATTCTGTATATATTTCCATTACTACAGTAAGTTCTACTGCATTAGACAATGTTATTTAGTGTCCAGATTTTGCTGTTGTAGTTTTGGTACTAGAAATTAAACCCAGAGTCTTTGCACTGAGCTATATACACCCCTAGCTTTTTGTTTGCTTGTTTGTTATTGTTCTTGTTTGTTTTTATTTTTGTTTTTAGACAAGCTCTAAGTTGCTAAATTGGCCAGATTGGGCCCAAACTTGCAATCCTCCTACCTTAGTCTCCCAGAGTGCTGGAATTACAGGCATTCAGCAGCTTAACCAGCTAGCAGCTAACTTTTAAAATTTCCTAAGTCCAATGCAATCTTTAGTCTAGGCATTTTTGGCTTTATTATTGAGCTAAACCTCCTTAGCGACTCTGTACAATGCCCCAATTATCAAGATGTCTCTCCACCTGTCCGGTGGGAACATAAACTATTCTTGACCCTCTGTGAGCTGCAGCAGTTATCCTGCCTTCTCCGTTTGGTGGTTCTCTCTCAAGCCTCAGAAGTCTTCTTGCTAACGTGCCCTTGTCACTAAGCTGAAGAGTTGAGGGGATTCCTGAGTATCTGTAGAGTGTTTTCTCATTCCATGCCTCTCTGTTGTCTCCACAGATTCTACCCACTTGGTCTCCCTAAACTATCTTCTCAATTCATTGAAGTGACCAGATCCCTTGAACTTCTTTCCTGTATGGAAGCTTGAAAAATTCCAGGCAATGAATCCCTCCATGAGGCTCCCATTTTAAAAATTCTCTTTCTCAGGGGGATCATTCTCCTATACTGCCTGTTGTCCCAAATCTAAAAACCATTGCTTCATGTGTAACCAATTTTTTAAAATGGTTAAAGCATGAGGATAAGTCTGGTTTCCTTTTGCTCCACTATGTCAGGGAACAGAAGTCTCCCAGCATTTCACAGTTTGAGGCTCTGTGTCACTAATTATCCCCAATGGGAATGGTTTGCAATTCATGAATTGTTTCAGGCTGAAAGAACTGTAAGTGCAAAGGACCCAAAGCAGATGAGAGTTCAGCACAGCATATACTTGAAGAATGTCAGCCCACATAGGGCTGCCAGAGAGAGAGAAAAATGAGGTGGGGGGATTGAGATTGAAGAGGGTGTTAGCTGCTGTATGAGTTTCCTGTTGCTACATAACATTTTGCCACAGTTGACACAAATTTATTATCATACAATTCCAGAGGTTAGACACAAAATGGATCTCACTGTGCTATAGCCCAATAAAGATGTCAGCAGGGATGGTGTTCTTTTGGAGGCTCTGGGAGAAAATCAATTTTCCTCCCTTTCTAACTTCTACAGGCTGCCCACATTCCTTGGCTTGTGGTTGTTGTTTTGTTTTGTTTTTTTCTTTTTGGTACTGGGGATCAAACTCAAAACCTCACACTTGCCGGGCAGGTGCTTAGGCCACTGAGCTAAATCCACAGCCCTCTCCCCATCTGTCTTTAAAGCCAACAGTAGCAAATTCTTCTCACATTTATCACTCTGTTACTGATATTCCTCCCTTCCTCTTTCACGTAAGAAGATCCCTGTGATTCAACCTGTACCATTCAATTAGTCTAGATTAATTTTCACCTCAAGGTTAGCTGAGCTTTGGTGGCCATTATTTTGCCTACCACAGCAGGGGACCAGATTTGCTGTGAGATGGAAAGCAGTGTTGAGGGCTGATGGGATTTGCCTTACTATTTAAAAGCAACCTATCAGATACTGTTTGAAGGCTATACATTAGGGAAGGATGATGTGACAAAATACCTGAGTGAAACAATTTACAAGAAGGAAAGTTTTATTTTGGGTCATGTCATTAGAGGTTTTGATTCATGGTAGCTCAACCCCATTGCTTTGAGCCTGAGATGAGACCAAACATCATAGCAGAGTGTAGGGTGAATCAAAGCTGCTGACCTTGTAGTGGCCAGGAAGCAGTGAGACAGAGACAGAGAGAAGGGGATGTAGACCCAGATTATTCCTGTGTGATACTCTCCCTTCAGGTAAGTTTTCATCATTCCCCAATAATTCCATAAAATTATGAATCCATCAATGGATTAATGATTGATAAAGTTAGAGCTCCCGTGATCCAATCACCTTCCAAAGCCCCACCTCTGAACATTGCACATTATAGCCCAAGCCTTTAACACACAAGAGTCTTTGCCCCCCAAACTGTAACAGATCCAAAACTGTAACAATTACAAGGCTGGAAGGAGAAACAGGGTTCATCAACAAATTGGATGTGATACACATAAGTGGAGTGAAGAATGACCACCACACCACCACCAGGGTTTCCTGCCAGCCCGGATTCTCCCTGATAGTAGTATCTATTCTAAAGTCCACCACTCTGATGGTAGCAAATCTGGATTTTTGATGCCAGCAAAGCTTGAATATCTCTTTATGCATTCATAATCCATTTAGGGTTCTACAGTCTTTGAATTATGTCTTTATATCCTTTGGCCATCTTCTCTCAAGTTTTTTCTTTGTTAATTTCTAGGGCTTCTTTTTAATCGTAGTTATCATCTTTAGAGAGAAAAATACCTCCTTCCAATTTTGTATCTAGCCTTTCATATATACTTTTTCACTGAATAGAAATGTGTACTTGTAAGTAATCACATCTATTTTCCCCTTATTTAAGATGTTGCCCAAGAAGACCCATTATGATGAATACATTGTCCTACATTTTGTCCTATTACATTTATAGTTCTAACATTCACATTTAGGTGTTTTCTGTCTTTGGAGTCCACTTTCATATATAAGATAAGGATTCTTCTTTATACAATAAGGACTGCTTATACTCTTTCATACAATAAGACTTTATACAATAAGAAGTCTGTCACTGGGTCCCTGCATGATCCCATCATGGGGTCACACAGTAAGCCAATGCTCACAAAACTAACGTGCTAAACTTGGTGTGTTTATCTCCTTTGCCTTATAGTGTTGAACATAAGTAGGTCCAAGTTGAAGTTCTATTGTGTTCTTTTTGGTCATTTATTTGTTCCTGCACCTGAATGAGATCACTTCCTTTCTTTGTGCCATATCTTAGTACCTGTAAGGCAAACCTCTTTGTTCTTTTTTTGGCCAAATTGATTTAGCTCCTTATAAAATTTTATTCTTCCACATAATTCAAGATTTCTTCTTGAATGACAACTCAAATGCCAGGTCAAAGGAGCCCAAAAGACTTGTTTCTCCTTTATGTCCTCAAGACTCTGGAGAAGGTAAGGAGAGACTGACAGGAATAAATCTACCTTCTTATTTTGTTCCTTCTGCAATCAATTAGAGTAAAGGACTTAATGTGCATATTGGTAATTATTTTAAATTTGTTGGTTTCAATTGCAGTAGGTTTTATAGGGTTTTGTTAGTATTTTCCAATTTTGTACTTTGAAAAGTTTTAAATCTGTAGAATTGTAACAAGGATAATAACCTAACATTTTTAGCTTTTATTACCTAGATTCAACAGTTAATATTCTGTGTATTTTACTGTCTCTCTTTTTATCTGTCAAGCTATACATTGCTAAACAATTTGAGAGCAAGTTGCAGATATGAACCTTCCACTCTAATTCAGCATGTGTTTCCTAAGAACAAGGACATTCATTCATATAACCATAATACAATTATCCATGGTATTTACTCTCGACCCAATATTATCTGACAAACTATCCATATTTTTTAATTGTCTAAATAATAGTGTGTACGGTATACTTCCCCATTTCAATTCAGGAACATTCATTGCACTTGGAAATCATGTATCTTTGTCTTCCTTTAGTTTGAAGCAATTCCTAGACCTATCTTGTTTTATAGAAGGTCTCTCGGTTTGGTTGTCTCTCAATTGATTGTTTCCTCACTGTTAAATTCAAAGTATGCTTTTTTTTCCCTTGGTGCTGGGAATTGAGCTTGCCTTGACTATCCAGGCAAGTGCCCTACCACTCAGCTACACGGTCAACCTCAAATTATGTATTTTTGATGTGAGTGTTTCCTTCTTAAAGATGAAAAACCAAAGAATAGAACAAACTCAACTTTATTTACTTGAAAATAGTATTAGATTATTTCTTTGCTGAGGAAAAACTACTCATCTGTGAATTCCAAATATAATAAGTATTGTTATGTTTCAGAGTTTCACCATAGATCTTTTTAAAGTGTAGCTAAATTGTTTTTGATTCTCAGAAAGCCAAATCTGTACTATGTATCTAACATATGAGCTCCCACTATATGAAGGATATTACAGTAGGCCAAGAACTCTATTTCAGATTAAAAACTGATATTCAATCTGGGTATAAACAGAATTTTGAGGTTTTTTGGTTTTTGTTTTTTTTTTTTTAGAAATTTGTAAGACATCCTCAAAAAAAAAAAAAAAACCTAGAAATTCAGTTTGACCCAGCTGTTCCCATCTAGGTATCTTCCTGAGAGAGTTAAAGATATTGTATTATAGTGATTCATGCACACCTATGCTTATAGCAGTGCAATTCATAATAGCTAAGAATTGGCCTTTATGTCCAGTAACAGATGAATTGACAAAGAAAATGTGGTATTTATGCACAGTGGAGTACTACTGTGCTACAAAGAAAGATAAACTTGCATCATGTGTAGGAAAAAAGAAGCACATTGGTAACACAATGTTAAGTGAAATAAATCAGATACACATAACCTGCCTAATGACAGGCACATGCCCAGAATCCCATCCCAGGACAATTGTATGAAAAATCAAAGTATAAAGAGCAAAATAAAAACAAGCAATAGGATGTAGGCAAATAGATCTTTCTCAAAGGAGAAAAGGATCAAGAGATGGAGAGAGAAGAGGAGCAGAGTAGTAGGGGATGAAAAAAGGAATTGAGACATATTATATACGCATACCAACTCCCTGCAAGGAATGTAAATATTATGTACTATAAAGAGGTAGTAAAACATTTTTAAAGAAATTTGCAGTATAAGGATAGGGTTTGTTGGGTATGAATTAGGACTCATCAAAAGAAAATGCAGTTGCTAAAAACTCCTGCGCATCTTTCAAAACGCAACTTTAGTGCCTGACATAGCCCTCAACCCTCTCTGGAAACCTCTCCAAAATTTCATTCCAGGTTGCATGTTCACTTTTCTCGACCAGTTAGGATTCTTAACAACATGTTCCATTTATGGGACTTCTTTTTCTGTACTCACGACCTTATGCTTCCCAGGCAAGCTCTGTGCCAATGAGCTATGTCCCCAACCCCTCCACTTTTTTTTTTTTTTTTTTTTTTTGTAGAACACCTACATAACAGAGTACTTGGCCTTTGGTAATTATTTAAATAATTATTTTATTTTTTTATTTTGGTACCAGAGATTGAACTCGCAACTTCACACTTAACCAAGCAAGCACTTATGCTGCTGAGCTAAATCCCCAGCCCCTAATAATGAATTAAAAATTATTGCTAGTACCCTCCAGTTAACAACCTGTAATATTACAACCATTGTTAAATTCCTGTCATTTTGTTTTGAAAACCTATACTGCTATTATTTTGGGTTTGTTATTTTTTGTTTTTCTTTTTTGTGTCTTTTTTTCTCTTAAATGAATAAATTACAAAAACTATCACTAGTAAGAATGACAGAGAAGACTAAGAGAAATTCTGTTATTTGCTGAAAGGTGATAAATAGTAAATCAGGAAAATTCTTTTTTAAAAAGACTGTCAAGGGAATTGATATACTCTACAAACCTTCTCACGAAGAAAATGTAAGCAGTGAATGATAAAGGGCCATTTTACTTTATATTTTTAGCATCTTCATGACATTTCAAATGTTGCCATGCAGTTGTTGAAATTCCTATTGTAGTCACGTTACCTCTATTTTTGTTCTTCAGTAATCAATTGAAGAAACATTTCTACCACTTAAAAAGGTATCTTCAAACTGCCCATTGGGATTTCTGCTTAGTAAGTCTGCTACTCAAGAATCTGCAATCCCAGTGGATTCAAAAGTAGATGATTACTTAATACAAGGGACTGAGAAAAGCAATTTGGAGCTGGTCACTCGATTATTTCAAGACACCAAGAAAATAGATTAGAAGACGCAAACCAAGAGAACTTTAGAAAACTTGAAGAGACCGGCACAAGATCTCTTTCAGAGAAAGCTGTGGGCTCAGTGGAATAAGTTAAAGAAAGCTATGGAACAGAAATGACAGATGTGGAATGATGTAATTTGTACACATTCCCAGAGAAACCAAAATTTCTTTCTACTAAGAGGTGTTTATTGAGACCTGAACAGCATTAGGAACATCTAACAAAGTGAAGACAGATTTTATTTTTCACTAGTTTTGAATCATCTTAAACTACATCTTTTGATGGTACACATTGATAATGCAGTCAATCAGGCTAGGCTGAAAAAGTTCAAAATTCAAAGCTGATTTCTCTGGGATTATATTCCAACATTGATAAAAAGCAGAGTTTTTAGTGACAGTATTTGAATGACACCAAAACATTTTACTGTAGTTGTAAAGAATTTCTGTGATGAGTGGTTAAAAAATGAAGTGTCCTAGCAATTTCTCATCAGCCTTTCAATTTGGGATTTTGCTGTAGGATACTGTATCCTCCTGCAGTTTTCATTTCTGCTCTATGAAGCATCGCTGCACATCAACTCAGCAAAAGACCAATAAATTGCTTATCTTCAGAAGCATTTCAGATTTTAAATCTTTCTTTTAAAATATTCCTCCCTAGATTGAATCTATTTCAGTTAGAAAATACTTCTTTCCAATTGTAATAGTCTATCTTTTATACTACCAATAACTTAGTAAACATAGTCTAGTGTTTTTTGTTTTGTTAAGTAATGGCAAAGTTTATTTGAAAAACTAAAAGTGAAGAGTGGGAGAGAAATGTTGAGCAAAGCAAGCATGAACTGAGAAAAAGAGGGCAAGCCAAGATAAAAGAACACCCTGGAGAAAGCAAGGCGGCCTGTCCTGAGGAAAGCCTTAGTGGCTGTGTTTTTTGTTTTTTGAAACAACCTCTTTTATATCAACTATTAAACTAGCTGCACTCTGAAACAATAGTATCAAGTAATGGTTAGGTGAAGTGAAACCTTTTTTATCCGGTAGTGACATTTATATTGTATATGGTGGTTTGTTTCTTTTTTGGTGCTAGATTGAAGCATGGCCTCACTCATGATAAGCACATGCTGTACCACCGAGCTATACCCGTATTATGTATGTTTTGAACATACTTCCCTATTTTAATACTTAATCATCCGTCTAACACCCAATTGCATAACCACTAATACTCATTAAAAGAAGAGGAAAAGGCATCTTTAATGGGAAACTATACATCAGACAAAAACTAAATATATTAATGATCTTAGAATAAAAAATTAATAGTAGTTGAATAAGAGCATGCTTTTCATCATTTGCAAAACGTATGTCTTTGGGAAAGAAAAAGATACAGAAATCATTCATTGTTCACCTAACCTGGTGCTGTGCGGTGCTGGAGATACAGCAATGAAATAAAAGAGCCTTGACAGGGCTTTCTGTCTATCTACCAGGGGAGGTAGTATGGTATATGGTGATTGTATGGGATCTAAACTGTAAAGTACTATAAAGAAAAAGTAAAGCCTTCAAAGAGACAAAACAGGAGGCATAACATATAAACTTGATTTTGATTGTGGGAACTAGAAAAGTTTTTCTGAGGATATGACATTTTTAACTTGGTATCACAAGGTTGTACTAATGGATGATGATGATGATGATGATGATGATAGTCATCTGGGGGAGGGAGAGATGGGGGTTTTTTGGTTAAAAAAAAAGCCAAATGCATGGTGGTTTCCTGGGTCAATGAGTGAACTCAGGACCATAGTTTTAGGACATAACAGGTTTTCAGGGTAGTTGTATGTATGAAACTAAAAATAGGAATTTGATAAAAATGATATTTAAACCCATAGGAATAAATGAGATTGCTTAAGGAGACTATATATGGATAGCTAAAGATCTGAGGAACTCCAGCATTGAGGTGCTGATCAAAGTAAAGACAGTTGTTAAAGACAGGTGAGTCTAGAAGAAAATTAAGATGCGAATTTGAAACTGGCCTATAGAAGTCTTTCCAAGGAGAGGTAGTCAACTGAACAATTAGATGAGGACAGAAAAGTCCATTGGATCTAGCAACATGAATGCCACCAGTGATACTAGCAAAAGTATTTTTGCGGGAATAATGAGGCAAAAGCTATCTTGGAATAGGTTGGTAGTGAAGGGGGAAACATACTGTATATGTGGTGACTTACAAACTTTGCTTTGAAGGGGAGTAAACAGAGTAAGAGCAGGAAGGAATAATTCACCAAAGGCCCATAAAGCATAAGCATCACTGGAAAGATTCCAGTGGAAAACTGAAGAAGTAGGAAGAAGGGATGACAGCCAAGGGACAAAAATCTTACAGCAAGGAATAGAGAGTAGGACTCTGAAAACCACCTCAGAAGGAAATTACAGGCAAAAAAAAACAACAAAACTGCACCACTTCAGATATCAAAGAAATGGAATTTAGAAGGCTATAATATAAGAAAAAAACTAACAATATTGTGGAGCCATTTTAATAGGAAAATTTTTCACTGTGATTTATTCTGAACAGAATCCATTCCATACAAATAATACAAGTCTCAGAGGGACGTGGGTTACAAGTACAATAAATAAATGAGGCACTGTGTCTGGATTGTAGCTTATACGAAACCCTGATTATCTGTGATGTCAGCATAACCGAACTAGAAACTACAGGCTTCTCACTCCAGAGGCAGGTCGTGCTGGTCTCCTTTGTAACTGAAGGAGACACTGGGTTCCGCAGGAGATTGAAAGAGACGGCCGCAAGTTCTTTGGGCCCTTCTTTTCAGGAGATGGAGTTTATTGTCCCACCCCTTAATGCTTGTTTTCCTATTACTTTGGCTAATAGCAGGTGGCTAGAATACTACCTCCAAGGTTAGGGCAGAACTGAGCAGCCCCAGCAGCCAGCCAGCATAGTGGAACACACTCCAGCTCATCAGCGCTTGCTCATGAAGCCTGAAAAATGAGCCCGATGAAAGCAGCAGCAGAATCACGCAGCTTGCACACATTATTCTTCAAAGATAGTAAATGGTTGTTTTAAATCGCTACCCCTTGAGGCGGTTTGTTACATTGCCCTTGCTAGCTGAAACTATCACCTTGCTGCTTTCTTTGGCTGCTGGAGCGAGTTCCCATTTGGCTGAGTCGCAGGGATGTTCCCGCAGCTGCAATGTGGCCACCCAAGTGTCATGGCTACTTTCTGACTCACTGATTTCACTATCCTCTGTGTACCTCCTCTTACTGCCCTCCCTTAACTCTGGCTTAGGTATTTGCTATGCCTTTACATGCACTCTTGTCTTTCGAGACGGAACTGACTCCTCACCATCCAAGGAGGGAAAGCAAGTCAGTGAGGAGAAGCTATGTGCAGACCCTGTGCCATGACCGCATGCTCAGTGACGAGGCGCTGCTGACCAGGCTGCTCGGGGTTTCGGGTCTCCCCTTGGAGAGGGTAAAGTAAAACATAGGGAGAGGTGGCAGACAAAATTGTAGTGGTGGAAGATTACTTGGTAAGGGGAAGAACTGATAGCTGAGTTTATTGGAACTTTTATTTATGAAAGGAAGAGATTTAGTAATTCACTTGCTAACAACTGCTATATATCCCATTTGTACTGTCTCAAGGATGTGAGAATTGCTTTCAAACTTTTCATTAGAAAGCTCTAGATAAGGTTGCTTTCCCATATAGTTCTGGCCTAAAATATTGATGACACATACTCTTCTCTGACACTGAAGAGGCATCTGCCTCTAGTCCTTCTGATGTTTCTTGGCAGATAGAAGACTTAAAAACTCCAAAGAAAAACTTTGGTTCTCAGACCAAGTATTTGGAACATGTCATCTTGTAAGTATCTAAGTAAATCAAAGGCATCTACCACATCCTGAATTCTCTCCCTTATTCATGTCTTTCAGTGCGCAGCTAGGTGCCATATACACACTAAGATCTCTATCTGTTTAAACATAGTTAAAGCACTTAATATTATAGAAAACCTCATGGTCTACAGAATTTATGCTAAAAAATCATTAACAGTATAGGGAAAAGAAGGTTAGGGCCAGGCTATATAACTTTGAGCAGTGAGGATTAAATGACAGCATTTTGAAACATACCTGAGATTTGTTTCAGTGAGGTGGAGGAAAAACCTGCAGAGATGAAAATGACTGTCATGAATATGTTTCATATTCTTAGAGCCATAGCAATAATAGCACAGTACCTATGCCCTCCAGAGGCTCCATGCCAGAAAGCATGAGGGTCATCAAGGAAACTGAGGAAGCGCAGTGGTCACTGTGAGCAGGTATTATTTAGCTCTGGGAAGAAAAGGCAGAAAAGAAGTCTTAAGGAGGTTTAAGGATTAGGTAGTTTGAGTCATTTTAGCTGGATTGGGGCATAAGGGGTTATCCTTAGTTATCTAGTCCCTGATGCTGAGATGATTAGGTCAAAGAAGTACTGACTAGGAATGTCAGAGCCAAAAGGTAGGTATATAGAGGGAGCCAACCCCTGGACAGGTGGTGCCCCTGCCAGTCAACAGGGCCCCACTCGTGTCAGAGCATCAAGAATACAGAAAATGGAAAAAAAGTCCTAATAAAAATATTACATAGTTAACACATGTCAACTCCTAATAACTACCCGCCCTCAACTGAGATAACTTGATGGGAAGACATATAAGGAAGGGACGAAACACTGTTATGGTAACAATGGGATCTCAAAACACTATAATCAGAGAGAGCAGGATGTAATTACTTGTAAAACACACCTGACTGAGAGTCGTGGCCAAACCAAGGCAGTGTTTATGGTAAATGAGCTGCATTCCTCCGTGACTTGCTACAGAGACTTTGCTAATAATATACTCTGCAGTTCTTGGTGCTGACTTCCAGGTTTTAATGTCATATTTTTTCTATTTATTAATGTGATGTGATTTGTCTTAAAGAAATAGACAAATCATGTAGATGTGTCTAACCCAGGAACTGCTAGTTGGACATACCTGCAAGATATGGATGAGAACACAATAAGCCTTGTGATCTGCCCCCCATGAAATGAGATGATATAAAGATCCTCATGGCTGGTGATAATATACTACTATGTATTGTGATGCTTTAATGTCATGTCTCTGGTCCTAGTCCCAGGTCAAGAATACATTCA